TTATTTATTAATTTCATGAACTAACATCATTTAGACGTAATGATGGGAAGTAATTTATCGTAATACTACTAATCATGACATTACACTTAACTGCTAATAAAATCACCAATATTTTTTAACTAACCATTTGGTCTTATCAAAGATTTCAAAGAATTCCACTCAGGATTGAGAAGTCATTGATTAACATTAGTTATTATCATTGACCATTACTAGTTTCATTCTAAAATGATTATTTAATTTATTGGACATATCAAAATTTTTTACCTAATATTAAATAAGTGGACAAGCAGCTAGAAAATTGGAAGAAAAAAATAAAAACGAACGATATCGTTGGTCAAAATTTTTCAGTGCTGGTAATTTTAAGTAAGTCTAAACAAATGGACATTAAAATAAACAAATGATATTGTTGGTCAAAATTTTTCAGTAATGTGGTAATTTTAAGTAAGTCTAAACAAATGGACATAACAAAATTAATTTTTAAATCATCATATTATGCAATATTTTTTGTAGAACCAATACATATCAAAGAATTATTCATCCTTGATTCCATTGCAATGGTCAATTTTCCACTCAAAAAACCATTAGAACGAGTGTTGGGTTATATTCAAAACATATACATGTAAGGTATATTTTAATACATCCTATAAATCAATTAATTAATTATCTTCGATTAATAATTTGATCATTTTTCATAATTGTAACATTTAGATATTAGGGAAATGATATTTATTATCTAATGTTCATTCTTATCCAATTTCTAAAATTATCTTGTAATTTGATTAAATCCATTTAAAAAAAAAATTAAATTCCATTATGTAACAGATGCGCAATTTGTATGTTACATATATGCGCTTATGTGATTCATCAAATAAAAAATACCTGTATAAACAATATTAATTTGAAATTTCATAATGGTTTCATTTTAAATATCATAAAGATAATAAATACTTCTTAGACTTATTAATTTATTTAGCATAAATTCATTTAATTTAGATAACATTACATTTACCGCCTTGTGCTTCAATTGTACGCCAAATACAAGATTTTACCGGAAATGTCACATGCTACGGTACCCATCCAGATCTTATTGAAGCAAATCATTTTGCACTACATGTTTCCAATGAGGTTTATGCTTAGGATATAATGATAAATGTAAAATGCTCTCATGTTAAAATCTAGTGAAATATTTTTAATTGACACAAATGATCACCTGTTAATTAACAATTAACAATACTAATAATAACTCAAGGTTAATTGCATACTAAAACAAACCTACATTTAGATTTAATGCCGAACGATTTTAATTAAACATGAAAAAAAAAAAAGACGCATTATTTAATACTAATAGTTATTTGATGCTATATTCCATAGAATCATAAATGATTCTATGGATTCATAAAATATTGAGGAGGAAAATTGATTTACCTTCTTTACCTTTGAAGACAACAGAAATCGACTATACTTGTAAGATTTGCTTGAACTTTATACATTTGCCATCATTTTATTCATTCATCAACTCAATATTTCTTTTTTAGATGCGAAAAATGGATACATTATGCGACCTATGTCGAACAAATGCATCAGTACCTATACTTATTTGCTGTAGCATGCAAGGAACTGCATTAGCGAATGCAAAAATATTGAGGACGCAAAATTTAGCAGTAGTTACTCTGGTCTGTCATTTACTTCGTTTAAATGAATTGGTTCTGATAAGTTAAAGCTAAGTTTGTAACATTTATTGAAAAGTATTTTAACATTATAATACCATTTAAGAAATTTTCAAGTTTTACTCGATCATTTCAAGTTATTTCTATGAGGTACTGCAATTTAAGTTCTTCTCCCTTAATTAAATGATTGGTTTTATTACTAATCCTTTTCATATGATTTCTATATTAGAGTCTCATTAGTTCCGATTTCATCAACCTTAGATGTAGAAACCTTGGGATGATTCATACACTAATATCCCATCTTTTATTCCTAATCACAGAAATTTTTGTGCCCTTACTTTCACTTGATACTTATTTATTCCTAATATAATTGAAATACACAGACTAGTGAAATGTCATCGCAAGACATTCGTGTAGCTATAGACACATTCCAAACCGGTCAAGTGCATATTATGATAACAACAGGATATGTCCGTGGTTTGATAGATCTGAAGACACCTATGATTATCATCAATTATGATTTACCGAAACCCGATGCATATGCTCGAAGGTAATGTGATACATTCTCAAGATAAAAGGGACTCGATTAAACATTTCTGGAAATTTAGAGCTAGTTAATGAGATAGAATGAAAATTTGAATCGGATGGGCAAACAGTCAGAAGAGTTGCTGAGATTGAATCCCAAACTAATTTCATCTCATATCCAGGATTAATTTCACGGGTGAATCATGGATTGCGAAGCGTACTGTCTTCATATCATTGGTTAAAATGACTGAAAGAAACAAAGTAATGCAGTTGAAAAGAAAACTTGGCTTACGATGGATCTTGCTGTATCCGGAATGAATTCTAGTTTTCGTTCAAGATAGTCAATTGGTTTTAAATTTCGACATATTAATTTACTAATCCATACTTTGCAATTTTGGATTCCTGTACATGAACTATTGATTTAAGATCAAGTTTTCCTGAAAGAAGGATCTCAAGTGCAACAGAAAGGCAAAGCATGTATTCCTACTATCTACGTAAAATACAGATTTTTTTTAAAACTATATAAGGTATGCTAAGTACTACCATATTGCTATGCTTTTTTTTTTTTCGAACCAAATGATTTGAGTAATAGAAGTTGCTCGCGAAATAATCCACTATTAATTGCCTAAAATTAAGTTGGTCTTCCGTTAACTAATTTGTCCCTTGGATTTCCATCGAAGACTTTCACCTTCTGGTCATAAATCCAGACTAACATTCAAAAAAGTAGTTAACGCTTGCAAAATCATTTAGGAGTGTGATTAGTTACAACGAAAATCTTTGAATTTCATCAATTATAAATTTCTAATCCCGAATCCTCCAATGCAACCACCGCTATAGGTGACCATCCTTTTTCTCCTAACATTTGGCATTGTAAAACTTGTCGATGTGTTATTTGTATTTCCTGTATTACTGTGAAATCAATTATCATTCTCAGTCGATTAGTTCGTCTTTTACAGTACATTCTATCTACATTCTAGGAGTATTTCATTAAGTACATCAGCAGCACATTCTAGTATATATTCTAAAAGCATATTATTTAGTAATTCATTTCTAAACTTTCCACATTTGTTTTGAAAAGTATGATAAATTACAGAATTTCGATATGCTTCCCACATCTCACGATTGTTAGTAATAATGAGTAAGAAGACCATATGAACTCTTTTTGATGAAGGATTATGATGTCCTGTTACAGCAAAGAAGATAAGGTCAAAATGATAAATATTTTTTCGCAAATTCTGTAACAATAGTTTTTCGAAAATGCAACCCATGCTGAATGAAGTTGTGAAAGATAGTTTTTTCCGAAGGTAAACTGGATCAAAATTATGTATATCTATCCATATTCTACATATCTACATTTTTACCTAGTACCCTTCATTGTTATACCTATATACATTTCTACCTAGTACGCCTTCATTGTTTTTCTTTCGAGAACGGAAAATTTGGATTTTCGGATTTCGCGCTGGTTTTGGGTGCTCTCATTTCTTCAAAAAAGCAAAAAATACAAATTATTTTATGGCTTCAAATAGCGGATAACTTTCCATTCCTATCATCTAAATTATCTAATTGAAGAAACAAAGCAAAAATGAAAAGTTGAGCAGCTACAGCCAGCATTCAAAACTTTTTGAGTCTCATGGTACCAGGTTCATACGTTGCGGCAATTTCTTCCATTTTAGCTTGAGCCTGGAAAATGAAAATATATCAAACTGATTTTGTGGTCTTAAACTTCTCCCTATCACTTAACTTTTGTCCCTATCTTCCTATCCTATCTCACAATATCTGCAATATTTGGGACACTTATTGTGCTCTCCGAATCATTAACAAACTAGAAATAGAGATTAAAAATACGGAAAAAGTCGTAAGCTATGATTCTGATAAAAAAGAGCTTTCTGTTAGCGAAAAGTCCTATTAAAATTTCCGATCATCCTTTGAAAAAAGTTGTGACAGGTAAAAAATTTTGATACTATGATCGATTCTGACCTCTTCGCTGAGCTGTCTGGGCGGTGGCGGTCTAAGTTTATCGGCATTGAGATATAAAAGTATGAAACTCGACAGCTGAATCGCTGTCGACAGCAATGCGAGCCCAAATTTTGCCTGTAAAACCACCTGGGTTAATTATGAAAAGAACAAATGAACAGATCAATCACACATATTGGCAATTACACATATTTACAAAAGCAAATATAAACTTCAAATATGCTCGAACACAAGCATGGTGTTATCCAAAATGAAAAATTTAGTTTCATATAAGCAAGTTGATTAACATATTAATAAGCGCATGTAATTAAACGAATTCACTTGCATATATACAAATACATATTAATCTGCCTGCTCCCGAAAAAAAAGAAAAAGTTCTCATCAGCAGCAAAGCTTAGCGCAGGTAAAAAAAATACATACAGCTAAGCTTCACTTTAAGCATCACTTAGCATTTTTCAGCACACTGAGATGTTACTTTTTTTTTTTTGAACCATAGTTCAAAAACCATAAAGAGTGAAATCCAAGAGTAATAGTGATAACGTGGAAGCTATAACTGAAGGTAAATATGTAATTTATGACTTTAAGTTTCCAAATATTTATAATTCAGATATACTGCTATAAGAGATCGAGGAAGAGAAAAAAAAATGTAAAACCAACATGTTGACTTATAAATCGTGCTGGTGGTGCAAATTCATGGCCCAAATGAAAACAACGAGTACTCGAAGCAACTCTAAAAGCACAGGTTGCAAGTGCTTTTGAATGAAGCATCCTTCACGTTACAGCTGTAAACAAAAAAAGTTATATGTGCGAAATGACAAATACATACAATGATGGATAAAACTTTCCTCAAATAAAGATGGAAAAAATCTTCAAACAATGATTTGTAGGTCAACATACATATAAGAAAAACATCGGTATACTTATGATCATCCAATATACTTAAGATCAGCTATACACAAAGTCAAATGCATATTGTCGTACAGTGGTAAGATATGCATTTCTTGACATTTTATGCCAAGAAATGTCTTCATTTAACCGAAATTTCCCTTACTTGTTCGTCAACGTAAACATTCTCTTCTACCTGACTCAAAACTACTACTACCACCATGGCTTTATTAGTGGTTTTTACATCAACGTGGTTTTTTACGTCAACTGAAATTTAAAGGTGTAACAAGAAAGGAAAATTCTTCAAGCTCTAATCCATAACGAACTATATGTAAATATGTTATTTGACTTTATAAGTACAGTAATCCTTCAAATGCACGCGTTGTTTTCATGGAAATGGATAAGAAATAAATAATATGTGTTAGTGGAGAGGAGAGGTCACAATAACGGTTGCACAGAAGTTTGTCCTGTTTTGTTCACGACTAACTGTCCTATGAATTTTCGGAAACTTTCGAATCCTTCGAACTCTAGTCGAAACTCTCAAGCTACAATGCCCTCTTTCCATCAAGCAAATAATACAAATCACGTACTCTAAATGCAAGATATAGACCAAGTGCCGCTATGCTACTCTCATGTCACATCACCACCATTGTTATGAAATAGAGCAGCCGAGCCGGCTATCTAATCAGACGAATTGTAATTGATGCTGAATGTCTCTACAACAGTTCCATTAAGTCTCAAGACTGAGAGAAAATTTTACTGCCATAAACTAAACCCTTCCCACTCTTCATTAATAGTCTTCCCCTCTCCTCTCAATCAACATTTGGCTGCCCATCTACTTTTTGGCAACACTCGCCAAAAAATGATTCACGACGAAGTTTACTTTCTGCTGCATCATAATCCAATGATCATACAAACGTGAAACAATTACTCCCTTTCTTTCGTCCCTATCCATCTCCGCAACATTATCCGTATTTTAGTAAGGTTATCTTCTTTGGCGTGTAATAGAAACGGATGCATAATTCAAAGTGTTAGCGACAGCTGCTAACAAAATCAGGAAAATGGATTAGAAGGATGATCTCGTGACTAAAATATTTATAAACAATATAGTACAAAAGATAATAGAAATAAAAATTACCAAGTACCAACAGATAACAAATTACGACAAAATATTCGTGTATAAATCGAAAAAAAAAAAAAACCCCCTCCCGTGTGTGTACTATAGCAGAACAAATTGCGAATAATTCAACTCTCACTGAAGTAATGATTCTATCTTCCAACATTATCTTTTGCACAATATGAAACTTCAGAATTACAACATTTCCACTAATAATAACTACAATTGCACTACGAAGACTTACGAAAATGTATAATGCAGACAAAATTAAAATCCAAGTTCTCTACTTCTGAAGGCATTACTGCTTACTGCTTGCCAATGCAACGCCTGCAGATCTTTTCAAGGTTCATTTCTTGAGAGCAAAAGGAAAAGGCGTTATTTTGTATGAAAATTAAAAACTAATTTTGACAGATTGCTAGCAGCATGACCTTTGATTCCTAATAATACTGCAACAGAAATACCTGAATTATGAATAAAATACAATTACGAACTTGAGAACAGAAGAATGATTTAATCTTCCGATTACCCAACATGAACTCATGTACACAACAAGCGTGTGAACAAATAAATTCCATTTCTTTGTTAATTTTTAGTTACAATAAAAAGCCAATAAATCCTCAAAGTTACATATGGAAGATGCTGAAATGACAAAATTAACGACGACCGAGGACTATCTCGAATTTTCAGGAATCTACGTATTTTTAAATATTCGAAATCCTGAAAGGTGAAAGCCATACAGGAACAAGACCAAAAGGAAGCACAAGAATAAGAAAAAGTTCAATGCCAAAACACTTCCAAATAAGTATTGAAAACTTTTCAAATGAGGAAAGGGATGAAGACCACAATAGGATATGACACAATAGGCTTTAGTTTGTTTTGGCTTTTTCGAAAATTCATTGGCTAGTGTCAAAGCATACATTCTGTTAATTAAAAAGCTATGATAATTCAGATGGCAATGCATTTCACATATTGCTAGCTATATAAACAGCATAAGCAAAGTTTAATTTCAACAAATTTCATCCAATCAATATACCTTACAATACTAAAAATACTTTATACAGCAACGTTCCAGTCATGCGCATAATGCGAGACTGTTGCTGGCATCAAGCTGGGACAAAAGAGAAAAGGTGCAGGGTGAGAAAGTGATTTGTCTTAAATGAATGTTTACTCATATCGTTCGTCCATGATGGTGAAATCGAATGTATATGTACTTGAAATTTAACCAACACATATTATTCTGGGAAAAACGAAAAAGTACTACCGTAGGAATGATCTAATTAAAATGGAGGTAATTAAATACCAATTTCGAAATTAACATAGAAATATACTCATTAAGATCTATATATATATATATATATATATATATATATATATATATATATATATATATATATATATATATACTACTA